TAACCCAATCGCTTTAACGCTAGCATATGGTGCCACTTTCAGTCATATGTATTTTCATTGAAGAACTTATCAGGCAAGTGGCCGCGAAATATTTCCAGTGGCCAACGAACGAGTTAAAGGCGAAAGAAAGTTGACATATTGTATCTAATGATATTAACATTATATTTGCTCTGTTTTATACCATGTTTCCATTGGAAACCTAACAACGTTGTTCGCTCTCAGAATTAGGTACACGAATTAACCCGTTCATACGGCACGATTCGTTATTCATAGTAAAATAATTCCTTTCTCCAAAAATTTTGTTTGTTGATTTTAATGGGAATTTATACGAAAATACATAAAATTCTCACTAATATGAATAAAAGAAATTATTGTTTTCCTCGCAAAGATTTTTTATATCATTAATTTTACAATTTTCATTCATGTTTTCAACTTTTTGTGTAAATGTTGACATTTTGAACACATTTTTGTGTTTTTCCATTTTTAAATTCTGCTGGAGAGACACTTGTCAAACATTTTTTCTGCCGATAGAAACATTTTGAAAATATTGCCTCTTTTGTTTGCAGTTTTCTGTGGAAATTTCAACTCGTGGACAAAATGCGCACCTCGAATGAGAGAGAAAACAAAATTTACTTTCGTTTGAATGTACATACGCCATTCAACATTGTAGTTTTCATTCATAATTTTCAGTCTTCCCAAAAATTTTTAAAATTTCATTAAATTTTTCTATTTTTAATTTTTAAATGTCATAATTTATTTTTCCGATAAATACTCTCATTTTTTAGGGATGGGACATATTTTTTCGTTGTTCTGAGAGAGATTTGATTTGAACAACGTACAAATATGAGTGTTCGCTCAGGAAATTTTGTGTGAAGAATTAGGTAGTTTTTTCATAGTTAAGGGTCGAACAACGAATAGAGAGCGAATCAAGTGCAGTGGAAACGCCACATTAGTTTACTAGTTTTGCAATTTTCTTCGATATTATAAAGGGAAAATCGGTTATCGTAGTAAAAACTTTCACCTTCATGTAGTTCTGGAACAGACCAATTATGCGATTTATTGAAATGCCTGTCCAGGCAGGACGTTTAGTGCATTCTTCAAACAAAATCTTTTACGTTTCATTAATACATTGCTGCAATTTCGTTGAGATTTAAGATTTTTTATAACAAATAAGTTCAGATGAAGTTTTCTTTCCAGTTCATTCTGTTATAGATATGTATAGATCTGGATCGATTTCGACTAGGGTAGTATGTGTATACCTAAGCTGCATGTAATATATTGTACCAAATATAAATATAGTGATAAAATTGCAGTTTTGAGACATCTTAAGTATTGTATTGGCTGATCCAAACCAATGACTCTTGTAACCTTCAAGATCTTTTAAATTGGACAGGTGTGTTTTTAAGAGGTGCATATTGTGAATATTGTATATTCGATGCACAATAAAATGTTTATTGCCAATTTGAATACGGTTCGTCCTTGGGCCTAAGAAATGAATAAATTCGAATTTTTGTCTAAAATAGGCTATAAAATCCGTCATGTAGTATGCTAACAAATGCATATGGACAGACAGAGGGATTGGCACGCATATATCAACTAAGATAGGATCGCCGGAAGGAACAATGGTCCTATTATTTGCATTTTACAAACAAGTTCACACAGACCAGAGACCTACACAGAAATACATGTCATGTCTTTTTTTTTTGTGGGTGGGGAGAGGTGTTTGTATTGCTTTGTCGCAAATGGTGTTAACAAAGATGCTAGACTATCGCATTTTAGAGATAACTTCAACCACTCTAAACATATCTATTGTCAATATCTGATAATGACTTGGCATATTTTTATACAATTTCCACTGAGTTATTATAATATCCATGTTTCCATTCACAGCTGAGCAATGCGGCGCTGAAGAAATATGGCTAAATTGTCGTGATCCAAGAAGTATAGCGGCTGGAACAACAGATGCTGTGAAATTGTCAAGATTCTTCGATCGTGTAATTGAAAAGAAACAACAGACACGTGATACAGGCTTTTATGGTAGCGGTATAACAGATAGACGTCGCTACAATACCACCTCGACAATGCCCTACAATATGACCAATATTACCACGGCAGCAAATTCTATGAAACCCAACTCCCCCACACAAACGCAAACGCGAAATGTTTTAATAGAACCAAATGTTTTATAATAATCAATAAACAAATCATATTTTATAGTTTAAAAAAGGAATTATATTCCACATCTTTATTTTATTTCAACATTTTGCAAATGCTTTGAAAACCGTGTCGTACAAAGCCTGGCACACCAACTCTTAGCCTGGTGGCCATTGCATTTGACGACCACCCAAGAAATGTAAATGCAAATGGTAAACCGATTGAGCACCGTCTTTGCCATTGTTGATGACAACACGATAACCATTTTCCAAACCCAAGTCCTTGGCGACCTTGCTGCCAACCAACATCAAATGTCCCAATAGACTCTCATCTTCTTCGCTGGCCTTTGACAACATAACAATAGGTTTACGTGGAATTACCAAAAAATGCGTTGGTGCCTGAGCATTGATATCGTGGAAGGCCACACATTTATCGTCTTCGTAAATAAACTTGCATGGTATTTCTTTGCGAAGAATCTTTCCAAAGATGGTGTCCTCTGCCGGCGCAGCCGACTGAGCTTTTTCTACTTCAGAAGACATAACCCAAAAGTTCGTAGGTGTCTTCAGGCTGCAAAAAGTTGAAATAAAATTGAATGTTTCGATAACGTTTCGAATGACCTATAAAGTATGTTTTATCCTTACCAAGTATTCCTTAAAATTAACCGGCTGCGAGATAGCAAAGTCAATAAAGTCATCTGTCAAAATGTTCTCGATTTGCAAATTTGTCAATAATAGTAGTAGCTTTTACATGGTGAGCGAATATGGTGCCTAAAAGGAATCCAAGAAACTGAAGAGTGAATTGGTGTGAAGGAAACAGTAAATAAAAAGAAATAAAAATAACGGTAAAATGTAGAATTTTTGAAATGGAGAGTAATGTCATGGTAGAAGAATATAGGTAGACGCATCGACACAGCTGCTGGGACAATGAACTGTCAAACCAATTTTGAAATTGAAAGTGTTGAATGAAAAATCATTTAAATTTGTAAAAATTGTTAAAAAAAACTCGAATTATAATAACCTCCGATTGACGTGGTATAAGAAAACATATAAAAATCTACTTATATTTAAAACAATAATTTTAAATTGTTGACATATCAATATTCCCAAGCGTTGATGCATCTAACTGTATTCTTCTACCATGGGTAAAATGTAGAATTGTTTAAATGGAGAGCAGTTTCAAATGTTTTAGCATGTTTCCATTGCAAAAACCGAACAACATTGTTCTCTCTCAGAATTACGTACAAGAACTAACCCGTTCACAAATCACAAATATAAAAATAATTTCTTCCTTTCAAACGTGTCTTTCTTAAAAAATATACAGTAGCTCTAAACGAAACTCGTACAGCTAAAGAAAATAAATTTATTGTTCTTATAACTTACAAAAATCAAAATTTCCAAGAAAAAATGTTTTGTTTTGCATTTTATTAGTACACTATTTAAGTATTTAAAAAAACTTAATATTTTAATTCATTTAAAGTATTTCATATTTCAATGCTATCGAGATAGCTCGATAAATTCTCTATAGAGTTTATGTCTGGACTCTGGGCTAGTTATCCATTACGTGGGCACAATAAAATACCCGATTTTCGGTATTTTGATGATTTTAGCGACATCATTTACCGGAATTGTTTTAAATTTCGCATTTGAAGTTCGTAATGGATATTACAGCCTGTGACAGAAAATTGTCCGTGCAGGTCCACGTCTTCGTATAGCCCCCATATAACGATACCCCAGATATACGGTGTTTGGATGATTTTAGGGACATTATTTACCGAAATTATTTCAAATTTTGTATTTGAAGTTCGTAATGGATATTACAGCCTATGCCAGAAAATTGTCTGTGCAGGCGTATGACAAAAGTTGCGTATGCAGGTCCACGTCGTCGTATATACCCTAATATACGGCTAAATTCGGTATTTTTAAGATTTTAACAGAATTTTTAATGGATTTTAACTTTTTGAAAATTGCCAAATTTGTACCAAATGGTGGAGGGTATCAAAGTACGTCCCGGACGAACTTACACTTTTTTAATATTTACGTCTGTAAATTACACAACACGAGGAAATTTGTGATAAATTAGCTTTTAGGGATTTCCCCAAATACATTTTCCAACAATCACGTTAAGTTGGACGCAGTTCGAAAAAGGGTTGCCGTATAAATGTAAGCTGTACGAGTTTAGCTTTTGCATAGACATTTGGTGAGTTTTAGAATAAATGCCATTATTTTGTTAAATAAATAAAAACAGTAAACTTTTGAACTACGGCTAGTTCTACACACTAATAAAAAATATAGGTTTCTTCTGGTAGTAAATTTGATAACAATCATAAATTGCATTAAAGAAAATTGTTTGCTAAGTGTACGAATTCCGCGTGGAGCTACTGTATAAAATTATGCGCATATGCGACCCTATGGACAAGATTCGTAACATGGATAAGAGTGAGAACAAAATTTTCTTTCGTCTGAATACATACACGTCATGTCATGTGTACATGTTGAACATTATACATTTTTTTCAAAAATTCTATTAATTTTCTCTATTTTGCATTTTCACATGTCATAATTAATTTTTAAGCTGCTCTCATTTATTAGGAATGGGATAGTGGCGTAATTTTTTTTCAGTGCTCTCTTTCAATTTCTGTTTATATTGCACAAATTGTTTTTTAGTCAAATACCGTTTTTATAGTTATAGCCATGGTAAAATTATTACAAGGTATTAGCTGAACTTTAATCAGACATGTCGACCTTTGGTTTGCTGGGTTACTTGTGTTTGTGTCCAGAGTACACAGAAAGCACAGTACCTTGACGCCGATTGGTTGACACCATATAAGACGCCGTCTAAAAAAGCATTCTGCTCCGTTGTCTGCGTACAACGCAATACAGAAAAACGCGAAAGAAATAAATAAACAATTAGAACGCAAATTTTATAAATTTTATTTTTGTGCATTTTGTGCAGGATATATGCAAAATTCCGAGACGACGATAAACATTCTGATTACATTACAACCAAGTGGCAAGAAACTTAATCACAATGGGTCAGGACTGGCAGCATGACTTCATTAAAATAAAAAATCGCGGAATGCACTTATTGGCAACGGGCAAATGGGCCGACTGTCGATTTTTGGTGGGAACACCCCCAAACCAAAAGATCATTGCTGGACATAAGCTAATTCTGGCAATGGCTTCGCCGGTATTTGAGACAATGTTCTATGGGCACTTGGTGGATAAAGATGACCCCATTGTAATACCTGATGTGCAGCCGGATGCATTTGAAGCAATGCTGGAGTACATCTATTCCGATAATATCAGCATATCGTCCTTCGACAAAGCATGTGAATTGTGTTATGTGGCAAAGAAGTATATGCTGCCACATGTGGTTGAGCATTGCACCCGTTACTTGTGGTCCGATTTGAGTCCTAAAAATGCCTGTAGAGCATATGAATTTGCCAAACTTTTCGATGAGCCACGACTTATGCAGAGCAGTATGGAGGTGAGTTTCAGGGCGAAGGCATTATAACTAAATGATAATTTGTTTGCTGTTTTAGCTAATTGCCGGGCATACCCGAGAAGTTTTGGAAGATCCAAGTTTTTTGGACATTGAAGTTTCCACATTGATGGCAATTCTGGACCAGGATAAATTAAACATTGATTCTGAAATGGATCTCTTCAATGCTTTGCTGCGTTTTGCCAATGAGAGAAGCTTGATAAGGGATGACAATGTCCAGAATCTTCATGAGCAGAACAATCAAAATAATTCGGTAAATGGTGGTATAGGATTGATACCGGTAGAGGAGATTAAGATGGAGCCTGATGTCAATGCCATGATGCAAGGTCATGAAGAGGAGTTCAGTGAGGAGAATAACGAAGTCAATTACAATCATCACCATGAATCTCCATCGCCGGATGTAGTTGTTGTGGAAAATGAACTACCCCATCCCGTCGCTCCGCCGGCTAATGATCAACCGTCGACATCAGCTTCTGCCGCCAATGCTGCTGCAGCTGTTGCTGCCGTTGACAATCTAAACTATTTTATGGATGAACAGCGTCTCATGGTAGATGAGGCCACTCTAAGGCAGGCTGTTAAGAAAATACGTTTTCTCACCATGACTCCACAGCAATTTGCCGATGGCCCGGCTCGTTCAAAGCTTCTACAGCAACATGAAGCCTTAGCCATACTTATTGAGATCTCTAGCCCATCCATCAATGATTGTCCCATGCCAGAGGGCTTTTGCAGATCTCGTTGCAGTCGCAACTACTATGAACAACGTAGCAATCAACGTGATTTGTCTTCATATCGTCATTCTATGCCACCACCTGGCAGTGGCAACATTTGTAGTTTCGCACCTATGGATTCTTCGATGGATCACATCCCCGCCCAAGTTTTGGCCTCGACACGTGCTAATCCATGCAACAATCTTCCGGCTTCTAATCCCAATCCATTGATGCCAAGAGTCAGTGCGGGAATTCCAATTATACCAGTAAGTGACAATGAAGTGGCCACTAACGACACCCGGCGTTCATACTGTGTCTGCACTGGAAGTCCTCAGTTTCATTATCGCAATACCAGTGTCAGTGATTGTGGACTGACTTTTCAAGTGGACACCAATATTTGGATAACTGGTAAAAATATTGTTTTTATTTTATTTGGCAGCAAAACATCTTAATTTTAAATATTTTTTGCAGGCGTCCAAGTACCAACTCAAGTTCTATGCGGCGAACTTATGAATTCGGCTGGATTTTCAGAACGTTACAGTGAAATTCTCTATGCCCACATTCAGGATATGCAAGGATCTCGTCTTAGCTATACACATTGTACATCTCGTGTACGTTACGATTCTCTGTTGGACATCTCATTTGATCGCCCAGTTTATATCTATCGTAATCAAATTTACAAAGTATTTGTGGTCTTCAACAAAATTGGCTGGTACCCGATGTATAATTCGGTACTCGATGTCGAATGCAATCGTGTCAAATTTTCCTTCAATGTTGGCGATCCCAGTGAATCGGTACGCTGTGGTCTTATACGAGCAATTGTATTCTCAACTCCCCAAGAGCATACACGACACATTATTGACTAAAATTGCCAAATGACGATTGAAAGGCCATATGACTTCCGCGCATGGATTGAAATTTGAAGACTACTTTTTAACTGCAATGCAATTAGCACACAATTTGTTAAAAACAAGAAGTATTTTTTATAAATTACGACAATTCAATGTATCTCCAATTTATTTTCTTGTCCCACATACACACACACATTAAGTATTTTTTATATTGTGTTATTATGTTTCTATGTCTTTTGTTTTATTGAACAAATACCCAAGAATTTTGTTTTCTCCAAATCGCGTTTTATTTTTATTATTAAATCTACTTTACATTTATTTCTACTACGATAAACGAAATATACATATATTTTATTCAAAATTACAATACTTTCCTTTTTTATTTTTTATGGTGACAAAAAAGTCCATGTTAGAATAATGCAGGCCTACTATTTGGATTGGCCGTTTCAAATATTTGGACTTGGGTGTATGGATCCTATAACAATTTGTTGTCTTTATCTGTAGCATAATCTACACTGAAGACTTCTCAGTGGATTGGGTTTCTCTCTTTAATCCGGTAACCAATTCATTTTATCCAAAATTACAATACTTTCCTTTTTTATTTTTTATGGTGACAAAAAGTCCATATTAGAATAATGCAGGCCTACTATTTGGATTGACTTTCAATTATTTGGACTCGGGTGTATGGACCCTATAACAATTTGTTGTCTTTACCTGTAGTATAATCTACACTGAAGACTGTTCTCAATGGATTGGGTTTCTCTCTTTAATCCGGTAACCAATTCATGAAAGGGGATAGTGGTTTAAGGTTGAAAAACGTACAAAAAGAGTACGAATAGTACTTAAATGTACTAAAAATGTAATACTTTTTATTGGGCAAACAGAATAAGCTAGAAATTTGGAATGAGAGTCACTGATGGAGTGCAGGATAGATGTACCAAAAAGCTTGAACTTTAGTATAAAAATCCAGGCTGGAATGTGAGTTTGATAGATGAATTAGGTTTGGGAAATGTGTACTAGATGTGCGAGCTGTACTAAATTTGGAACGGCTTGAATTAGGGTAAACGGATTAATGTCGAATTTTAAAAATTTAGTATTGGGGTCCATTTTTGGGGTAGGTTGGTGATAAAGAAGCGGTTTTGGCAATGTGTACTACAAATGCCCGAAAAGTACTGAATCGTGCTATATTTGGTTCAATATGGTATTGAGTGAACAGATAGTACTTGAAATCTGAAATTGATATTGGGGTCATTGTTCATGTTTAGTCTGAACATATGGAGGTGGTTTCGGAAACGAGTGCTATAATTGTACGAAAAGTACTGAATGGTACTATAGTTGGTATTTGGAGAAGGAATAGGATAAAATTCTGAAATGTGATATTTTGATTACTGAAGGTATATATTTTAGAGATCTTTACAAAATTGTACAAAAAGTACAAATGGTACTAAATTTGGTATTGGGTGAAGGGATAAGGCTGGAATCTTCAAATATATTGAGGTCTCTGTTGGTATCTATAATCAAAATATTGAGGTGTTTTTGGAGTTATCTACGATAATTTTTCGAACACTTCTAAGAGACACTAAATTGGGTTCTGTTGAAGTGATAGAGCAGAAATCCCGAAATTTGATATTGAGGATTAGTATCTGGTACTGAGATATGAAAGTATTTTTGAAAATGTGTACGAAAGGTACTAAATTTTGTATTGGGCGAAGGATTAGAGCCGAAATCCTGAAATTTTATATTGAGGACTAGTATCTAGTACTGAGATATGGACGTATTTTTGTTGACGTTCAATAAAACAAGTAAGAAAGCAATAAGTTCGGTCAGACCGAACTTTGAATATCTTTCACTAATTGGAACGAATTTGAAAATTTTCAAAAAAAATAAAATCCATTAAAAATTCTGTTAAAATCTTAAAAATACCGAATATAGCAATTATATTGGGGTCTATAGGAGGACGTGGACCTGCATAGGCAACTGTTGTCATAGGCCATTGCAATATTCAAATAACAAACTTGTATCCAGTTAATAATCTCCCGAAAATGATTAAAATACCGAATAATGGGATGTACCCTTATAGGGAGGCTACCTGCATAGACAATTTTATGTCACAGAGTGTAGCTCCCATTACGAAATCTAAATACGAAATTTTTAACAACACCGGTAAATAATATCCCCTAATTCAGCAAAATACCGAATATCGGATGGTACCGTTGTCTGGGGCTATACGATATCGATATCTATATATACAATTCTCTTCTAGGGGTAAAGTACTCACACGGAACTCCTTTTGCGGGTTTCAAGGCAGCAACATTTGGATGAAATTATCAAAATACCGAGTATCGGGGGTACCCGTATATGGGGGCTATACGATATAGTAGAGTTATATGGGCAATTTCAGACAATTTCATTGAAAAATATGGCTAAAACATAAAAATACAGAATATCGGGGGGACCGATATAGTCCATCTTCGACCTGCAGAAAAAAGACAAATCTGTGCAAAATTTTAGCTTCATATCTTTATTCGTTTTGACTCTAGGGTGATTAACACAGACGGTCGGACCAACAAGGCAAAATTGTACTAGAATTTTACACTGATCAAGAATATATATACTTTGTTGGGTCTAAAATTTTTATTTCGATGAGTTACAAACGGAATGAAGAACTTAATATACCCTCCATACTATGTGTAGTGATTGTACCCATGGTCTACCTTGTCTTCATTTTACCATGAATAGATCTATTTGGGTAATATTCCTTAAATTTGCGATTTGAAATAATTAGGTCTTTTCTTCTCAGAGCTTGTAAAAAATTAAATTAAATTAAATTTAAGTTTTAAATTAACTTACACGTCATTTTTTCTAAGCTTTCATAAATCACAAAAAGTCATTTACCAATTTTAAATAAATAAAAATATAATATTTTTATTGTTTTTTACTTTTTTTACAACAGGATTTTATACATTTACATACAAAATATACACTGACGGGAGGTTTGAAACCAATAGGAATTTACATAAAATTTATCTAAAGAAACTTTCGCTGTGTTCGTTTTATTTATTACGTGAAGAGTAGGTGATAAATTATTTACATTCAAAGAGATATAAAAAAAGTGAAAAGTGAACAATCAATCAATCCAGGGCTAAATATTTTATAAAAAAAACAATTGATTTACATATTTTGAGTTATTGCTTTGAAGTTTTCATGGAGAAGTTCTTATTTATTTGCCATAACCGCCACATTTCGAATGGGCTTCTTCGGGATCTTCACAGGTTAGGGTGGTTTCATCGAAGACCTTATCCTCACCACAGGTAATCAAACGGGGATGACCTTCAACGCAAGTGATTAGACGATGACAGTCTCCGGGTACAGCGAAACGTGGGAAAGGCCAGAAACGGGCAGCTGGACCATCAACTTTGGTGGGACATTTGAAACCGACAACAGCTAAAAAATATATAGAATAGATTAAATAATTATTTTTTTAAACAGATTATAGAAAAAAAATCCCTCAAAACTGAAAGGTGGTAACAGGATGTTTCAGAATAATGGCGCAAAAAATGTGTTCCAATTTGATTTGAGAAGGAGATGAAGGCAAATTGCAGTTCTTTGTTGAGAAAGTTACATCTTTCACTAGTTTGTAAGAAACAGCTCGTAATAGAAATATTTCGAAAGAAGCGTAGAATCAAATTTCTGAATAAAATATTCAGTATTTCCAACAAGGTTAAATAACTCTAGCTTAGAAACTGTAGAGAAATTAAAAAAAAAATTCAAACAAAACTCAGAGATGTTTGTCAACCTCCTGGACAATGCAGCTCAAAACGGATTTTTATCCTAAGACGACTACTGGTTATCAAAACGCGTAATAACATAAGTTGTAACATATGAATCTGAAATGTGGGATAAAAATTTTAATATTGGGTGCTACGCTTTTGAAATTTGAATAAAAGGTAAAGTAATCATCACAGCTGTAAAGTTGAGAACACTTTTTATACCCTCGGCTATATGACTAGAGAGGGTATATATCATTTGATACTGCCAAAATCTGCCTAGTCGAAATAATGCTTTTAGACCCTAAGTCTCTTTGGACCAAATACGTTTAAGGACATTTGGATTCGATTTAGCGATGTCCGTCCGTTTGTCTGTATCCGATTTGGTAAAAACTTGGTACATAGTAATATTTTTGGTAAACTTAGATCGAGTTCGGATATGGGCAACATCGGTCCAATCCTTCTGATATCTCCCCCTCTGGACATTGATCCGGAGGAGATGTGGTTTCAACAGGATGGCGCTGCGTGCCATACGGCGAACGCAACCATCGACTTATTGAAATCAAAATTTGGCGATAAGTTGATTTCGAGAAGTGGATCTGTCAATTGGTTTATGCTGATAAACCAGCAACAATTGACGCCTTGGAGTTCGTGTAATTCGTGACATACGGCCAGCAGTGCCCGAAAAAGTGGCCAAAAATTTGACGTCCAGAATGCACTTCGTCAAGAACAGCCGCGGTGCCCATATGCCCGAAATAATTTTCAAATGTTAATGTTACGTATTGATCTTTCGAATAAAAATATTGATTACAATTAAATTTTTTGTGTTATTTTTTACAATTGCAAGTTCTATCTGGCTTAAAAAACACCCTGTAGTATCTCTCCCACAAAGGGTCGAGATTTGAAATAACAAAAACCCTCCCAAAATGGGAAATATACTGCAGATTCTTGTAGAATTTTAAACATACCAATACTTTTACAATTGCAAAATCTAGGTCCTTCCGGTACCTCCCCCACAAAGGGTCAATTTTTTTAATAACCAAAACGCTCATAAAAATGCGAAAAAAGCATCAGATTATATCAGAGCTTCGCACTTTCTCTCAAAACAAGGTCTGATATGAAGATGGGATATATCGGACTATTCCTTTGAATATCTTCCCCACAAAGGGACAAAATTTGAAATATTTAAAACGCTCATAAAATGCGAAAAATACATCAGATTCTTTTTAAAAATTCGCGCATCAGAAATGCGAGAAAAGCATCCGATTATATTAGAACTTCGCATATCCCAATATTTCTCTCAAAACAAGGTCTGATGTGAAGATGGGATATATCGGAGCACTCCTTTGAATACCTTCCCCACAGAGTTACAAAATTTGGAATATCTAAAACGCTCATAAAATGCGAAAAAAGCATCAGATTCTTTTTGAAATTTGCACTTCCCAATATTCTAGCCATTACAAGATAGGGGGTGAAAATGGGATATACCGGCTCACAACTTCTGTTACCTCCTCCACAAAGGGTCAAAACTTTGAATAACCAAAACGCTCATAAAATGCGAAATAAGCATCCGATTATTTTAAAACTTCGCGCGTCCCTATATTTTTCTCAAAACAAGGTCTGATGTGAAGATGGGATATATCGGACCACTCCTTTAAATATCTTCCCCACAAAGGGACAAAATTTAGAATATTTGGAATATCCTTCTGGTATCTCCTCCAAAAAAGTCAACATTTTTGAATAAGATGGGATATAGCGGCCCACTCCTTCTAATACCTACCCACAGCGGGACAACGTTAGTCTTCAAATTTCGCACATCCCAATACTTCTACAAACACAAGATCAGGTATGAGGAACGAATAGCACGAATTTCCTTCTGATACCTCGCCCACAACGGATCAATATTTAAAAAACAAACATGAGGCAACTTGAAACAGCCCAATACTACACAAGATATACTATGGAGATATAATATATCGTTCCTCTCTTTCTGACACCTGCTCCACAAAGGGTCAAAATTTTAAATAGTTAGGGCCTTCACCCTTATACAAGCGAAATAAATCAGCGATTATTTTCAAAAATCGTGTATATGGGGGCAAAGGCTGAGGGTATCAAGCTTAAGTCTTGGCTGGCTTCTTCGTAAAAAGACATAGTTTCAGGTTGACTTAATTCGAAATACATTTCTTTCGACTCCAAAGAAAGGAATGCTGTCACTGAATCGTTGCATGAATTACCCCATTTACTCACCTTCAGGATTGCAACTATCCAAAAGTTGATCGGGCCAATTGCAGCCATGAATACGCTCATCATAGGCCAGACCGGCATCGCACTCCTGTTCGATAGGTTCTCCGAAGGCGCACTTGATGTATGTTGTTGAACATTCCTTAGAGACGGGATAGATGCCAAATTGATATTCACAGCCGGGTGTAGAAATAGGTGTAGCTAGGAAAAAATATTTCGTGAATTTGATTAAATTGAAAAATGTTATTGGCACTTACGATCCCATTGTCTGCCTTTGCAATCGACAGCCCAGTTATAATTGCAGTGGTTGTGCACAGCACCCTTGCCATCGAACAACAAACCGTTTTCACAGGTCTCCAAAGTCAAAGTGCCATTGGTGCACAAAAAGAATTGATCGCAATTTTCAGTGTGGGCATAGGCTTGAACGCCATGTTTCTCGGGACATTCAATGGTGTCCAATGGAACGGAGTGAACTGAAATGGGAGAAAAATATATTTAATTAAATTAAATATTTAATTAATAATTAATTTAATTTAATATTACATAAACAAGTAAAAAATAGTAATAGTAGTTCGGCCCGGCCGAATTTTTCATACACTCCAGCATTCCGAAGAAACTTGAAAAATTTCAAAAAAATAAATAAATAAATAAAAAATAAGTAAAAAAACTGTAAGTTCGGCCGGGTCGAACTTTAAATACTCTCCACCTTTTGGAACGAATTTGGCAATTAGAAACACCGTTAAAAATTCTGTTAAAATCTTCAAAATACCAAATGTAGCCGTTATATTAGGGTCTAAACGACGACGTGGACCTGCATAAGCAACTTTTGTCATAAGCCATTACAATATTCAAATGCGAAACTTAAAAAAATCGGTGAGTAATGTAGCTAAAATCACCAAAATGTGGAACTGCACAGAGAAATTTCTGCCTAAGGCTGCAGTATCCATTACGAAGTACGAACAACTACTAAATTTGAAACAATTCCGATGAATAATGTCACTAAAATCATCAAAATACCAAATATAGGGAGGTACCGTTATATGGGTGCTATACGAAGACGTGGACCTGCACAGACAATTTTTTGTATCCATTACGAACTTTAAATACCAAATTTAGTACGGGAAGTACGGTTATATGGGACATTGTGTGCGATTTAGCCCTGTCCGTCCGTCTTTTATAATCATGCTACAGTCAAAAAGAATTAAGATAGGAAGCTCAAATTTTGCACAGATCTGTCTTTTGTCTGCAAGCAGGTCAAGTTCGAAGATAGGCCAAGCCCCCATATACCGGTACCCCCGATATTCGGTACTTTGATGATTTTAGGCACATTTTTCAATGGGATTGTGTGAAAATCCACACAAGGCGTTTCTTGTGAGTACTTTATCCCCTAGAAGACAATTGTCTATATAGGTCCACGATATATAGGTATAGCCCCCTTATAGTGGTACCCCCCGATTTTCGGTATTTTAATGATTTCGGCCAATATTTTTAATGAAATTGTCTTATAATCCGCACAAGGAGTTCCTTTTGAGTACTTTACCCTCTGGAAGAGAAGTATCTACATAGGTTCACGTTTTAGTATGGCACCCACATAACGATACCATCAGATATTCGGTATTTTCCGTGACAGAAATTGTTCCAAATTTGGTATCTAAAGTTCGTAATGGGTACAACATATGCCGAAAAATTTTATATGCAGATTCACGTCTTCGTACAGCCACCATATAACGATACATCCCGATATTCCCTATTTTGATTATTTTAGCAACATTATTAACCGAATTTGTTGTTCAAATTTCGCATTTAAAGTTCGTAATGGGAACTACAACATATGAAAGAAAATTGTCTATGCAGGTCCACGTCTTTGTATTGTCCATATATAACGATACCTCCCTTTGTTCGGTATTTTGATGATACTAGCGACATTATTCACCGGAATTGTTTCATATTTCGTATTTGAAATTCGGATTCGTTACTACAGCCTCTGACAGACATATTACTTGTTTCATTTAAGAGGCATTTTTGACGGAATTTTTTTTGTTAAATTTCAAAATTTTCCCAAATGATGGAGGGTATAAAAAGTTCGGCCCTGCCGAACTTTGCTGCTTTGTAATTATAATGTATTTTATGATAAAATTAGGCTTAACTCTAGTTTAGTAAAAACTCCTATTTTTTTTATAAAGTCCAGGTCGCATTTATTGCCCGATCGAAATGATATTTTGCAGAAATAATTTATTTGACCCAAGGACGAACCCTATTGAAATTGGAGATAATCGGTCAAAATTTAGATATGGCTCCATATATATCTTCAACCGATTTCGGGTTAATTGTGCACCAACTGGCCAATATAAGTTTAAATTATCTGAATTTTGGCACATCCGACCGAATTCAGTATAGAAGCAAGTATATCAAATATGGTTAAAATCTGTTCAGATTTAGCAATAGCACCCATATATATGTTTCATCCGATTTACTGTTAGAGTCCCTCACATGCGTAAATGCATTCGAAAACAATGATAGGTGCCAGACATCAGCTCAGAAATAAGTGCATATAATTTTGTCAAGATCGGGTAAGATTCGGATATAGCTCCTATATATATCTTTATCCAATTTCAAGTTAATCGTGCGCCAAATGGATTGAATCATGGCAATTCCGAGTGGAAATTCATCCTCACAAGAAGTGCTTTAAATTTTGGTGAAAATCGGTTCAGATATAGCAATGGCTCCCAAACGCCGTAATTTCTACATTTTTTTTTAAATTTTATTGAATGAAAGCAAAAATGTCGGAAATAGCATCAAATTTTAGAAAAAGTTCAAATTTGGACCTCGAGGAACCTCATTTTGTAACCATTCTTCGGTGGCGCGTGCTGAGTGCGTCCGTGCTGAGTCCTGTTGGAATGTCCAAGGCCTGGGACGAAAATATTTGCACGCCCAAGGCTTTAATACACCCTCCAGAATATTTTTCGTGATAAAAACGAGCGGAGCCAACCATCGGCTGTTATGGCGGCCCACACCATCACCATGGCCGGCGATTGAGTTCTGGTGGCCAACTGAAAGTGCACATTTTCAGCTGACCTCTTTGGCAAGCAAACACGATCATTTTGTTTGTTTACAAACTGTTGGACAACGAATGTTTTCTCATCGGAGAAAACCAAATTTGGCAGTTCACCACTTTCGGCCAGCGAAGCAACTCTTTATCTCTTTTGAGTCTATTTTTTTCCTGTTGCGGTGTAAGTTCTTGAACTTTCTGGATTGTCAATGCCTATAATGTCTATATGGGGTTGGTGGATCCGGTCTTGAACCCGGACTTTCGAGACAAAAATCTGGATCCGTCGCCCAAAAAAATATAGTTTCCCTGAATCGGTAAAAATACCTACCGTTGGAAAAAAATGAAGGGTTTTTACTAAACTAAAGTTACGCCTAATTATACCCTCCACCTTGGAAAGGAAAGTATATTAACTTTGTCATTCCGTTTGTAACATCCTTAAATATTCGTCGTAGACCTCATAAAGTATATATATTCATAATCAGCATATCGTCGATTTAACGATGTTCGTCTGTCTGTCCGTCTGTTGAAATCACGATACAGCCCACATTATTTGACGTAGAGCGCCAAAATTTAGCAGAGCAATTTGTATTCTGTCTAGGATGGTTGGTATTGAAAATGAGATATATCGGTCCACCTTTTGGTACATCCCGATATTCGGTATTTTGATGATTTATGTCACATTTTTTCACGGATTTGTCTAAAAATTGGTATTTGTAGGTCATAACGGGTCCCAGTTCGTGTGGCGATTTGGTATAGTCCCCATGTAAAGGTACCTCCCGATATTCGGTATTTTGAATATTTTTGCCACATTTTCTAACAGATTTGTCTAAAATTTGGTATTTGTTGGTCATAATGGTTTCCAGCTCCGATGGCGAAACATTGTATGTATGGGTCCACGATTTGGTATAGCCCCCATACAACGGTACCTCCCGATATTCGGCATTTTAATGGTTTTTGCCACATTTCTTCGCGAATTTGTCTAGAAATTGATATTTTTTGGTCTTAATTGGTTCTAGCTCGTTTGGCGAAACACTGTATGTATAGGTCCAAGTTTTTATATAGCCCCATATAGCCGTATTTCCCAATATTCGGTATTTTGATGATTTTTGGCGCATTTTCCAATGAATATGTCTAAAAATTGGTATATGTGGGTCATAATGGGCTCTAATGTTTCCTCTACCCTAAGGTGGAGGGCATTAAAAGTTTGGCCCGGCCGTACTTAATGTTTTTTTACTTGTTTTATTATAAAATAATTAAATTAATATATATTAAAAAATAATTAAATTAATATATTAATAAATAATGCTGGGGATATAATAATTTTTTTTTTCCAAGTAATTCCCAAAGGCTTATGTTTAATAACTTATATCTGTCACCCTTCCACGTTATATACACAAAAGTAAAAGATGTCTTTTTATGGATATGTCTGTCACTTAAAATTCGCAAACTCGACTTTAACTTGTTGCATCATGTCGCTAAAATTAATACTTCCCAAAACTTAGCCCACCGATGTAAAACCAGTGATGCTTTAGGAAAATGTCCCGAAACAAACAGGAAGATGAATCTGCCTGCCAACAAAAAAAAAAAAAAAAAAAAAAAAAAACAAAAATACATCCAAATCAAACAACCACCATTTATCGGAAGTACTTCCAAGCCAGTATTAGCAGATGTGTGTGAGAAAATAGTCACAACAAAATTTCGAAAAACCCAAACAAAAACACAGCATTTTGTTTTTATTGTATTTGCATTCGGCAAAAAAAAAATAAAACAGTTTCACAAGTTTGCATCGGTCTAGCAAAAGATTGCAATTTCCTTAATAAATCTAAAGGTGAAGACATCGGAAAATGATGTGGTTGAGGCTGATCGCGGGGTGTTTTTGCTTAATATTTGTTTTTTCGAAAGACAGCATCGTTCGCCAAACAAGTATTTGTGTGTTGTTGTGCACAGGAAAGCTCATCTTCAATCCTAGCCTGTATTTATTTACAGTTATTTAAGATTCTGCCAACGTTAAATGTCTCGCTACCGGCGGCGACAGAGACAACAAGGTAATCCGCATTGGTTGGTTAAACAAAAAAAAAAAAAAAAAACGGGTTTCGCTAGTGACGTAACTTATTGCCGCATGAATGATGGCACATGGCTCAAATGCTGGACCAGGTTTTTCTGTGTGGTGCATCGTGTAGTCCCACAACGTCAACTGACTTTGTGTGTCGCCACCATGAATGGAATTCCATAAAAATGTTTTTTGCATTTTCAAGATTTTTACTCCCACAATGGTGTTATAAATTGAAACAGCTTCGAAACGGGTATGTACTTTTTAGCAGACTTTAATGGAGTAACCTATTTTATTTGCGCTAAATTGTTTGCCGTTGAATAAAATAACCAAAAACCATAACCATTTTTGGGAAATATTAATCGTGTCAGGTT